GTAGAGTGCCGTGGCATTACAGCTCACAGCAACCTCCAACTCCTGGGCTCAAGCGAGTCTCCTGCCTCCGCCTCCCAAGTAGCTGGGACCACAGTCGCCCACCACAACGCCCGGCTATTTTTTGGTTGCAGCCGTCATTGTTGTTTGGCAGGTCCGGTCTGGGGATTCGAACCCACCACCTTAGGTGTACGTGGCTGGCACCTTAGCCGGTTGAGCTATAGGCACCAAGCCTACTTTTTTTTTTTTTTGGTTGCAGTTGTCATTATTGTTTAGCAGGCCCAGGCTGGGTTTGGTGTATGTGGCTGGCACCCTGCCAACTGAGCTACAGGTGCCACCTGGATATTGTTTATAAATGGAATCAACCAATATGTGGCCTTCTGTGTCTGGCGCCTTTCCCTAAGTAAACGTCCACCTGTACAGCAGCATGTATCTGAGCTTTGTTCCCTTTTACAGATGAATGATACTCCATTGTCTGGACAGACCACATTTGGTTTATTTCTTTATCAGCTGGTGGCACTTGGGCCATTTCCACCTTTTAGTTAACAGTAAGTAGTGCTGCTATAAACCCATGCATGCAGGGTTCTGCACAGACACATGCTTTTATTTTCTTGGGCATTCCCCTTTCCCTAGGAGTGGAGTTGCGAGGTCACAGGGTAATTCTGCATTTAATTATTTTAGGAACTTTCAGGCTGTTTTCCAAAGCAGCTGCCCTACTTTCTATTCCTGCCAGCACTGCACCAGGGTCCCTATTCCTCAATATCCCCACCACTGCTCACCATTTCCTGTCTCTCTTTTTTTTTTACCCAGGCTAGAGTGCTGTGGTAGCCCAGCAGAGGTAACTCACTGTGCAGCTACACCTCCTCTGGGCTTGAGCGTGACCCTCAAGGGCCCCCCTCCCATCCCTTATCCTCATAACAGGATAGATGGTCTTTTCTTTGGGGGCTGCTTCCTTTTGAGTCAGCCTCTCCCCCAGTGATCACACGGGCTCCCAGTAAGTCTTTTGCACACCAGTATCCACCACGCCCTGATCTGCTTTCTCTTCTCCCCTGGTCCACTCCTCTGACCAACATCCTCTGGTTTCCTTGTGCCCCCTCCTGGCTACAATTCAGTCATTATCCCCCACACCCCTGCCCCCGCTGAAGCATTGGACTGCACGGACCCACCACCCAACTTTCTGGCTTTTGCCTCACCCCTGCCTTATTCCCATCCCTCTCTCTTTCTCCTGGGCCTCTGCAGAGGCCACTTCAGCTCTTGTCTTCCTATATTCCAGAGCTCCTCACTTGATTAATGTGACCTTTTTAGGAAATCTGAACACTTTGGAAACCTCCTTGAATGTCCCTTGTAAGTCCCCAGCAAGGTCAGCTGGTCTTAACACATGGGACTATGACATCAAACTCCCCCAACTAAAGCTAAGGAGAAATGCCTCCTTCGCTACTTTAATTTTCAAAAAGCAAATGAAATCTACTTGAGCCCTTCTTTTCATTTAGCTGGTGAAAATTTTGTCCCAATCAATAGACAGGTCTGCCTACCCAGCCCAGAGTCCTGCCAGGTGGAGGAAAAGCCACATTCCTCAGCCCAGACAGAACTCAGGGCAGGTCCCACAGCTAGGGTGGGCAAGCAGGACAGGGATAGGAGCCTGGGTCACTGGGAAGACGCCACCTCAGATAAAGGTGCTTGCCACTTGGGTCAGCCTTCATGGGTTAGTCCCATGGGGCCACAAGCTCAGACAAATCCCCACACTTGATTTAATGCCCTGTTCACACCACCTTAAAATTCTTTTTTTTAATTTGAGACAGTCTCAAGCTGTCACGTAGGTAGAGTGTGGTGCCATCACAGCTCACAGCAACCTCAAACTCTTGGGTTCAAGTGATTCTCTTGCCTCAGCCTCCCAAGTAGCTGGGACTACAAGGCATCCACTAAAATGTCCTGCTATTTTTAGAGGTGAGGTCTCGCTGTAGCTCAAGCTGGTCTTGAACCTGTGAGCTCAGGCAATCCACCCACCTTGGCCTCCCAGAGTGTTAAGATTATAGGCATGAGCCACCGCACCTGGCCTCACCTTAAAATTCTTTTTTCTTTGCTTTCTTGCTTGCTTTCTTTCTTTCTTTCTTTCTTTCTTTCTTTCTTTTATTTATTTTTTTTTTTAAGAGACAGAGTCTCACTCTGTTGCCCTCGGTAGAGTGCTGTAGTGTCACAGCTCACAGAAACCTCCAGCTCTTGGGCTTAAGTGATTCTCTTGCCTCAGCATCCCAAGTAGCTGGGACCACAGGTGCCTGCCATAACGCCCAGCTGGGTTTTTTATTGGTTGCAGTTGCCATTGTTATTTTAGCTGGCCCAGGCCAGGTTCGAACCCGCCAGCCTCCGTGTATGTGACCGGCGGTAGTAACCACTGTGGTACAGGCGCTGAGCCTTACAATTCTTAATAAATTCTGAACAAGGGGCACTGTGTTTGCATTTTGCTTTGGGCTTTGCATATCAACCGCAGGCGCTGTCTTCCATTTCCAGGGGTCTCAGGAGCTCCCTCTTGTGGTTGTTCATCAGGCTGGACAACCAGAAAGCCACAGAAAATGTGGATGAAGGCTGACAGGACTACTCTGCCGCTGCAGGCCAGGCCTGGGTCTCAGAGCTTAGTGTAGGTCTACATATCTGGCAATTGTGCAAAAATGCAGAAGGTTCAAAAAAACTAAAGCTGGTCCAGACTGCCAGATAAGGGACTACTCGTAGGTCTAGGCTCGTTTCCTCCTCATGACCCTTCCCCCAGTGAGGAAGGTACAATTGTTTTTTTTTTTAAGACAGAGTCTCAAGCTGTCACCCTGGGTAGAGTGCTGTGGCTGCAGCTCACAGCAACCTGAAACTCTTGGGCTTAAGCGATTCTCTTGCCTCAGCCTCCCAAATAGCTGGGACTACAGGCACCCGCCACACCGCCTGGCTATTATTTGGTTGTAGTTGTCATTGTTGTTTGGCAGGCCCGGGCTAGATTCGAACCCGCCAGCTCAGGTGTATGTGACTGGTGCCCTAGCCACTTGAGCTACAGGTGCCGTGCCAGGTAAGGTACATTTATTATTATTATTATTATTTTTTTTTTTTGCAGTTTTTGGCCAGGCCTGGGTTTGAACCCACCATCTCCGGCATATGGGGTCAGTGCCTTACTCCATTG